GTTGCGCATAGAGGAGCACATCAATCATGACCGCGAGCATGTCCCTCTCATTTTGGGTGGCGACGGGGGGCTCTTTGCCGGCGTGCCCAGACGTGGGGCAGGCGTTGGACAGGATTCAAAGGGCGGTACAGAGTTCTTGGGCGGACGACAGGGTGCTGTGGGCGGTGAGCAGTTCTTGGGCGGTCGTGCACGGGGCCAAATGGGCGGTGAGCGGTTCTTGGGCGGCCGTGCACGGGGCCAAATGGGCGGTGAGCGGTTCTTGAGGCGACCGTGCACGGGGAGAAGGGCCAAATGGGCCCCGGCCGTGCACGGGGCCAAATGCGGGTGCACGGGCCGAATGGGTCAAATGGGCGTGAGCGGCTTCTTGGGCGGAACCGTGCCACGGCCAAAATGGGCGGCTGTGATGAGGCAGATGGTAGGCTCCAAATATAACCGATTTAGAATAGGTTATTCAGCGGGCGTTGTGCGCACCCCTTTGAGTATTCCTGTGTATATACCGCCTCGGCATACTATAACGGGCCAATATGGGCCGGTATGAGCAGTTCTCTGGGCGGTACCTAGTTTAGCACTAGGGCCAAGAGCTGGGCGGTGAAGCGCTTCTTTCGTGAGCGGCCTTTATAGTCAACGGGCCATAATGGTGAGGCCTCAGTGCACGGCGGCCACAAGGCAGGTGGCTCGTACCTTTCTTAGGTGGCCGTAGCTACTCGGGGCCCAAAATGGGCGCACCGTCGGCTCACTTCTGGCGGTTATATTATCCAGTGCATGGGCACCCAATTACGGCAGTGAACTGATCATTTTTAGGGCTATCGTGCACCGAGAGGGACGAAAGAGATATGAGAAAAGAGCGGTGTGAAACAACGTCTCTACTATAAACGCTCGCCGCGTGGCCAAATTGGCAGGTAAGCGGTTCTTGGGGCGGCTGTCCACCAGGGCTTAAAATGGGCGGCTGACATCTTGGCGCAACCTCGTCGCAACGGGGCCAAATGGGGCGTGAGCAGGTTCTTAGGTCCGCCGAGAGCAAGTGGGTGTGTGCGAGCAAGGCCAGAGACACACCTCTTCACTCCTTGCGCAGAGTTCTTTGACCTACGGCATTCTGGATCAAAATCACGGCCGCCTGACTCCGTGTGCCGTGGCGAGGGCGCAATGTCCGGGCGGCTTGACGGCCAACCTCCGGGGCAGCGCCCAACAACGTGATGGTACCTAATGTAGCGCGGGTACCGAGGATGATGTTGGGCGGCGTTCCAGCGCTGGACGACCATCTCGCGCGGTGGACCAAGGAGATACTGGGGCGCCAACGTACCAGACTGTGGTTTCTAGACACGGCACACGGTTCTCTGAATGTTACTAGTGGTGATGAGGAGCACTGTTGGGAGGCGTGTGCCGCCACTACTAGAGCAGCGCGACCCAGACGCGGTTCTCCGACTACCGGTGGCGAGGAGGGCCATGGAGCGGGCCGTGGACGCGGGCGGCGCGCTCTTTTTTCCGAGGTTGTCAATGGGAGAAATGGCCGAGCACATTTTGTGGACGTCACGGCACAAAGAAATGCGGAAGATCTTTCTTTGAGTGTTGACGTCGATGACGTGGCTGTGGTTGGTAGCAGAGGAGGTCCACGCTACGTTGATGTAGTCCGAGGTGTAAAGAATTAAAGACACTGCTTAATGTCTGTTTGGTTGTTTTCCCAAAAAAAAAGAAATGGAAATGACACTTTTCAAATGATTTCAGCCCATTTCAAGGCATTTCCCAGTTTTCTTTTTTTTGTTGTTTGTTTCGCAAAGAAAAATCCCCTTTTCACTGCCAAGTCACACAAAAAACAAAAAAAGCCTCCATAGTAATAATGCATGACATTTCCATTTCTTGTGTTTGTTTGAGAACAAGAAAAAGGAAAAGAGAAAACATCAATTTAAATAATATTTTTTATTCATCATGACTATTCCAACAGTGTTTTTAGTAATAAATAATTCTCTGAAGTGACATTTCCAAGTGTTTTCAGAGGTTTTTGTTGTGAAAACATATTTCTTGAAAATGTGATGTGGCATTCTACGTGACACTTCATTTCTTGAAATTTAAAAATGAAACAAACACAATAAATGGAAAACCCTTGAAATCAAAAACCAATGTGGCACATGAGGGTTTTCATGAAAGGTGAGGTGACAGGACATTTCTCATTTTTTTGAGCAAACAAATAGACCATTAGGGCCCGCTTGGATAATGGAAGTATTGAAAGTAAGAATTAGGTTATAGAAGTAATTTTCAAAACTATGAAGTAGGAAGTAGTGAAAATAATATATTTTTTTTGTTCCATATATTTTTAGAAGTAATGGAAGTAGAACTTCTTCCTCTTCATTTACTTTTTTTGTTTGAATAACATTTGGAAAGATTACTAGGAAGTAATTTTATCAATGAAAAGTTATTAGAAGTAACTAATAAAAAACATTAATAAAAAATTATTTATTTCCTAATTAATATGCATTTCAACTACTTCTGAGTATTGAGGATTGGAAAAATATTTTGAAAGTAAGGATGACACGTAGGCGCCACATAAGCGTTTAAGGAAGTATTGGAAGTAAGTTTTTCAAAGAACCAAACACATTTTTTTGCTTGGAAGTAGCAGAAGTGGTTTCTACTTTTTTTACTTCAGCTACTTCATAACTACTTCCGTGCAAACAAACAGGCCCTTAAAGGCTCTTTTGGCTGCTGAAGAGGGCTTTTGGGAAAGCCTGCCAAAACTGACAAAAATTGTCAGTTTTGACATGTTTTTTTTGCAAAAACGCCAGCCCATTTCAACGCCTCTTTAACACAACCAAACACGCCCTAACAGAAACGTTGATTGTTCTGCCACTTGTAATAGCATTCATAATTGTAAACACAGTTGCCTTCAATAAAAGTAATTTCTGTCAGTTCTTCTTCAGTATTCTTTTTGTTTTATTTTCTCGAATTTTTAGGATTTTTAAAGGCATTTTCTTGTCGATTTTTCACAATTTCCGAGTTCGATCCTAATCTTTTTTGTTTTTGTTTTGTTATTTCTTTTTATTCTCATTTTGCCGGATTCTGTAAGGGCATGTTTGGTTATTTCCTAAAAAACCAAAAAATAGAAATGAAAACCAAAAAATCTCAAAAAGTACAATTTCACACATTTCCATCCCTATAACTCATCCATAACATCTAATAAAATATTATTTTTATCCAACAACTCATCCACCACATCTAATAAAATATTATTTTCATCGAACAACTCATCCACATCTAATAAAATATTATTTTCATCCATAACATCACTCAACTCATCTCATCTCATATTTAAAAATCACTCACATCATCCAATAAGATTTTAACAACTCATCATCTTATTAACATTTCATTTCTTTGTTTTCCTCCCAAAAAGCTAGGAAAATAATTTTCTTAAGTGTGGGTCACATTCCTCCCAAAAAGCTAGGAAAATAATTTTCTTAAGTGTGGGTCACATCATCCAATAATATAATGACAACTCATCTCATCTCAGGTCACATCATCCAATAATATAATGACAACTCATCTCATCTCATCTCATCTATTTTCTTATTTTTAAGAAATAACCAAACAAAAGAAAATAACATAATACAAGAAATATATTTTTTATAATTCATTTTCTTTTTTTTTCCGCCAACCAAACAACATCAAAACAAGTTTTCTTAAAAATCACTCACATCATCCTATAATAAGGTGACAACTCATCTTATCTCATCTCCATTTCTTTGATTTCCTTCTTTTTTTAGCCAACCAAACAATCACAACACCTATTTTTCTTAGAAATATGTTTCATTTTCTTTGATTTCCCTCTTTTTTAGGCAAACAAACAGCCCCTAAAGGAAAAAAAACTTTTTTAGGGTTTTAATTTTTTAGACATTTACGATTTCCGAGTTCATATTTTTTTTGAGTAAATAACCTCGACTTCTTGATTCTAATTTCATCTTTTTCTAGTAATTGAAGATTTTTTTTCATCTTTTTAGGAAATTGGAAATGATGGTGAGATTTGATCTGATTCTTTTGCTCAAGCTTCCTTTCTTCCTTAGGAACTCATTGTTGGCGTTCTCAGTGTCTGATCCTATGGATCTTTAAGCTTCTAGTTCTAATTTCAAGTGTTTTGTTCATTAGTTTTAGTTTAGATTTGGTAAAATTTAATCCAAGATCAAAGTATCATGAAATGTGTATAAATCAGTTGAAGAAAGAACTGATAAAATTTTGAGAACGACTTCAAGAGTGGAGTTGCTAGGATTGTTGTTGATGTGGGTATTAGGGCTTCACGGTTTAGGCTTTAGTTGAGGATTGGGGTCTAGGGTTTATGCTGAAAATTAGATTTAAGGTTTAGTGTTTTAATAACTTCTCTTTCGTTTTCTGTAGATTTCATCAATGTCGGCTCTTGAAGCGTTGTATAAATCCCTCAACAGCCCAACTCAGCTGATTAGGTGGAAATCAAGAGACCGCAATCCATGGATATGGATTTTATGCTCTCATCATTCTGTAGTTTCCGTGTAATTTATTTTGACTTTGGGTAACAGCAATATTAGAGGACTAGGACTGGGTGGATCGCTGGATTCACAGATCTCCAGTCTCTTGTCACTGAAAGAACTATGCATATTCTTGTATAAAGTTCTTGGACAAATTTTCAAAACCAACCTATTTCTAAATTTAATCCAAAAAAAAACCCAATTTGAAGTTAATTGCAAAAACCGACCTGGTTTCAGCCATGTCATTGAAACCATGTCAGTTTTTAAAAAAATTTCTCTGAAATTTCACGGGAGTTGAACTCCTGTGAAGTTTAGCAAATCTACTAAACTTCACGGGAGTTGAACTCCCGTGAAGTTTAGCAAATCCAAAAAAAAATTTTGAACTATAAACTTCACGGGAGTTGAACTCCCGTAAAGTTTCGGAAGTTTTTTCACAAAAACCGATCTGGTTTCAGCGCCAAGGCTGAAAACAGGTCGGTTTTTGCAATTAACTTCAAAATGGGTCTTTTTCTGGGATTAAATGTTGAAATATGGTGGTTTTGAAAATTCGTCCTTAAGTTCTCATTTCGAAGAATTTTCAAATTACTTGTCAATTTTTATTCTTGACTTTGAATTGGTTGTGTTGATGGTTTTTTCTATGTTGGTAGGGATGTGAGTTGTAATAGCATTGGTGGTGAAATTTCTCACAGTTTACCTCCAAATGCTACCTACATGTGCGTTATTTGTTTCCTCTTTCATTCATTTAACTGGTTTATGTTTTCTGTGCTTCTAAAAAAGTACTGTTTATTTACATGTAGAGACCTGACTGTGAATAATTTCAATTCCAGCATCCCTCACCCGATCCCTTCTCTGAAAGTTCTCAGTTACTTGTGAGTTTCTTAGTTGACTTTCTGCTTCTAGAAAAATGCAGTTGATGAAGAAGTTTAATAGGCCAGCCTCTTTTTTCTCTAGCCTGTGCAGGAATGTCAGCCACAATTCCTTAACAGGTCCGACGGAAAGTGCGTTTACTAATATGCAGGATCTAGAGCAGCTGTAAGTTCTCAATCCACTTTGGCATTTGTAACTATGGGTAACATTTTTTATGTGGTCGAATTGGGGTCATTACTAAGTTAGTTAACAACTTCTTACTTACATGGTCTGGAGTGATTTCATTTGTTAGTTATTTGTCCCAAAAGATAAAACTTCACAGTGATCCATTAAGTGGGTGCATATTTCAGGGATTTATCATTCAACCACTTTGTTGATTCACAATCATACATTATGTAAAAAACCTGAAAGGTCTAAAACCTCCGATATGTCTTTCCATTCTCTTCCAGTTGCCGCACCAACAGGCAACACATTCTTTGCTGCTGCTCGTTTAAAGTATGGTTTTTGTGAGTCTTTAGATGCATGTTCAGTTTAACTGAAAAATTTTCATTAGAAGATTGTGAAAGCTGCATGAGATGATCCCAACCTTCTTAGTTTGCATTAGGTGGTTATTACTGTAACGCTTTTTTGAAGCTAAGTTGCTCCAGCCAAGAACAAACATATTTTCCCGAGTGGAGTTGAATTACTCTAAAGAAAATTTTCTGGACACTCATAAGGTTTTATAATTTGCCTTTTGTTTACATAGACTGACAGATGGTGATGCTGAAAATGTCTGAAGCATCTATAGGGGAACATGAAGCTTGGTCTGATTATCCCCAAAATAGTCTAGAAGATTTAACCTTTCTATATATGTTAACCTTGCTTTAGATTGATCTTCAATGTTCCCCACAATTAATAGGTTAATACGCCAGAAGGAGAGCTTTCACCTTCAATTTGAACTATCGTTTTTCTAATAAAGTGTTCAGCTGATTGGAAAGTTCAGAATCCATGGACTTGGTCACATATATTGATGCCTTTTTATCTTGCCCTTTTAACTCCACTGTATCTTAGATTGCCCACTCTGTAGGTTTCCTGTGCAATCTATCAGTTCTTACTCACACCTTTGAACAGACTAGGAGTTATTCTAATCAGTGATGTCATCATACTTTATAAATGTTCTAACTACATGCACAATACTCTAATCCTGCAGCATACCTTCTGTCCATGTTGGTATATTGCAATGCTATACAAAAATGTGAATACTCTTTCAAATTTCGTTAAGCCTTTTTCTTATTTTTTTTTCACCTATGCCTAAATACATGGAGAATTCCAGATTAGACACAGACTCGCACTAATTTGTAGCATGTACCTGGAGCTGGAAGAATGGTTTCCAATCACAAAGTAGCTTAGTATCCTTTCCTTTGCAATGTCTAAAACTGCTGAAGAAAAAAAGTTTGAATTGGATTTTGCAAAATGTTTGCAACAGAGTATCAGATCTTTGTTGTTCAAATTATAACATTTCTTGCAGGTGTTATCTCAGTCTCATAAGTATGTCTTAGCAATTGTACATGCGTACTTTTCATATTTATTCATAACATTTCTAGAAGACAAAAGTTGTTTTTAACGTTACACATGCCCTTTTCTTTGTTCAGATTATGTTATTTCCTAAAGTAATGATCAGGGTGAATGTTGAAGTTATTCTTAGAAGGGTCGAAACAGATTCCATAGCAAAATGGCCTGCACATGTTCACAAGTACACGATACTATTTCCTCTTATATAAACTTTTGGTTAAGCTTAGAGAATTTTTGTGCACAATGGCATCATGCATCTGAGTTCACTCGTGTTGATTGCCATTAATAGTCCCAAACTTTCAAGATACCCAGACAGTTCCAAGATACACATGGTGAGTGTACGTGTGGTGATTGCTAATAACTTTTGCAGTGTCCAAAGTTGAGTTTGAACCATCCATTACAAAGTACATTGAAGATACACAAGTCTTCCCTCAGTTTATAATGTGGAAGCAAAGTTGTTCACGACCATTCAAAGTCTAGATACTCCAAAGCTTTTCTCAGCTTTGGGCCTTCTTGAGGCAACAGACAATTACAGTGAGGGTTCAAATCGCTGCATTTACATAGATGAATTTCCTAATGGTCAGGTAATAATATTTAAGGATGCATTTTCCACTAGTATTAAAACCGATCTTCAAGAAATTATCTCTTAGATTGGATTTATGATTACTTTCCATTCAGATAAATGACTCAAGTGCAAGTAGTTTCTCCTTCTGTACTCCCCCCATTTGTCACGATTCTAAGAACTAAAAGTAGGCAAATTTAACCATCTCATATGCAGACCTAGGATTTATGCACCCCATGCAAAGATAAATATTTAGACTTTTGAGTTGCATTCTGCTTAGTACAACTCTAAATTTTATGTTGTGGACAAAATTTCGTTTGCTTTTATTATATGTCAAACCAGTAGTTAGTGCTGTGAGAGGATTGACTGAGTTAGAGTTCCTTCTCCAATTTAAAATGTTTAGACCAAAAAGATTACACAGGTAATGAAAAGGAGTATTAACTTAGTCATGCATAGATTAAGATCTTAAGGTCTCCATCATCTGATTAATAGAGGAGATCATTTGACTTCAACTTCAACTCCTCGGTTATGATATAGTTGTTGGATATTAAGGGTAAAAATTGTTTCATTATATCATGGAAGGGTACAAGGACATAATGTTATGTCCTTTCCTCTCCCTTTTTTTTTTTTTGGTTTTCTTAGATGTTAACTGTTAAGAAGTTAACATGGTTACCCTGGCTGCATATGGAGAGGAGTTTCAAAATGTGCTTTGGAATTTGTCCCATCTAAGCCACCGAAACGGCAACACATTTCACTAATCAAATCAAAGGGGAATACAAATTAGGGTTACAAATCTTACCCAAAACCCTCAAACAAGATCACTTGATCTCTCCAATAGACTCCAACAAAAGAAGCCCTAGAAAATCCCCTTTGGCAGCTCAAAATCTCCCTTGCATAAAACCCTAGAACAGATTTGGGGTTTATATACAAGTTACAAAGAAAACGGGTCTGGAAAACCAACTTAAACCCAAAACCCGATAGTCGGTCGACCGCAGCACCACTGCCGGTCGACCGCAAAATATCCCGAGGTCCAGTCTGCTCTCTGGACAATTCGCGGTCGACCGCAGAACCACTGCCGGTCGACCGCCCAAAGTCCAGTGGCACACTAAGAGTTGTGTGCACATATCGGTCGACCGCAGCTCCACTGCCGGTCGACCGCCCAACTTCCAGAGGCATACCTCTGACTTTTCACCAACTCTACAAATCTCCACCTCGGCGAACGTTTATGCCAAAACTGAGCCGACACCAAAACACCCCCAATTGACTTCAACCGGCTGCATCTGCAAGACTGCCTACGTATCCTCTTGCCCAAGGAATCAAGCTGAACGTAGTTCATCCAAATGGCCGCCAACGGCCTCAACAACGAAAAATGTTCAATAAATTCAAACAGTGACCAAACTTCACACCTGGTACAACTTTGGTCAACATATCAGCAGGGTTATCCTTAGTGTGGACCTTCTCCAACGTGACATCACCATCATCCAATACGTCACGTACAAAGTGAAATCTGACATCAATGTGCTTCGTGCGTGCATGGTAGACTTGGTTCTTCGCCAAATAGATAGCTGACATACTATCACAATGTACCTGAATGGTCTCCTGTGCAATCCCCAAATCATCCAACAAGCCATGTAGCCACAAAGCCTCCTTCACTGCTTCAGTCACCGCCATATATTCCGCCTCCGTAGTAGAAAGCGCCACTGTAGACTGAAGAGTGCATCGCCAACACACCGGTGCACTAGCCAATGTAAACACATAACCTGTAGTGGACCGACGCTTGTCAAGATCTCCAGCATAGTCTGAATCCACGTAGCCAATACAATCCTGCCCTGTCTCATCATTCTTCGCAAATATCAACCCAACATCCACGGTACACTTAATATACCGTAGAATCCATTTCACGGCCTCCCAATGCCCCTTCCCGGGGTTGTGCATGTACCTAGATACCATGCTCACGGCCTGTGACAAATCTGGCCTAGTACACACCATAACATACATCAAGCTACCCACTGCACTGGCATATGGAACCTTGGACATGTAGTCCCTATCCTCCACTGAAACTGGTGACATCAAAGCTGAAAGCTTAAAGTGGGGAGCTAATGGAGTACTCACCACCTTGGTATTACCCTCAAAGCTGAATTTCTTCAGCATCTTCTGCAAGTAACTCTTCTGTGTAAGCTTCAATCTCCCCTTCACCCTGTCTCTCTCAATCTCTATACCCAATATCTTCTTAGCCTCTCCCAGGTCCTTCATCTCAAATTCAGATGACAGCTCCTTTTTCAATTTCCTAATAGCTGAAGTGTTCCTGGAAGCTATGAGCATATCATCAACATACAATAACAAATAAATGTGCTCACCATCCTGTAGCTTGCGCATATAAACACATGGGTCATAAGGGCTCCTCGTGTATCCTCAGCCAATCATAAAGCTATCAAATCTCTTGTACCACTGTCGCGGTGATTGCTTCAGTCCATAAAGAGATTTCATCAATTTTCACACCAAATTTTCCCTTCCTGCAGCTTTAAACCCCATAGGTTGTGTCATGTAGATCTCCTCATCTAAGTCTCCATGTAGAAAGGCCGCCTTCACGTCCATTTGGACCAAATCTAAGTCCAACTGTGCCACCAATGCTAATAGTATCCGAATCGACGAATGCTTCACAATGGGTGAAAACACCTCGTTGTAATCAACACCTTCAAGCTGTGCATATCCCTTGGCAACCAATCTGGCCTTGAACCGAATGTCCCCAATAGAAGATCCCTCCTTCTTAGCATACACCCACTTGCAACCAATAGCTTTCTTACCCTTAGGTAGCTGTGCAAGTTCCCAAGTGTCGTTCTTCTGAAGAGATTGCATCTCCTCCTCCATAGCATTCCTCCACCTAATGGAATCAGGACTGGACTCTGCCTCCCTGAATGTGGCAGGAATAAGATCATCAACGACCTCCACCGATAAAGCATATGCCACCATGACATCATCATATCTCGCTGGCCGACGAATCTCTCTCCTCGGTCTATCTGCTGCAATGGACCCATGAGTATGACCCTGCTCCTGAGCCTCCCCATCCACTGTATCCCCCAAATGCCCTTGTGGATCCCATAATTTGAAGCCTTTTACACCTTCTCTAAATCCCACAAAGATAGCCTTCCTCGCTCTCGGATTCAACTTCCCATCACTAACATGGAAATAAGATGGACACCCAAAAATCCGAAGAGTCCCATAATCACTAGCCACACAACCAGAACAACGCTCCAAAGGAGTCTTCCCCTCTATCACAGTGCACGACAACCTGTTAATGAGATGGCTATCATAAACTAACGCCTCGGCCCAAAAAGATCTAGCCAATCCACTCTGCGTCATCATACATCGCACCTTCTCCAGCAAGGTACGGTTCAGCCTCTCTGCCACCCCATTTTGTTGCGGTGTCTCTCTAACTGTGAAGTGTCTTCTAATGCCGTGATCCCGGCAAAACTGCAGAAATGGATCACTCTTGTACTCTCCACCATTGTCTGAACGAAGAGTCTTCACCTTTCTACCTGTCTGCAGCTCCACTTTCTTCTTCCACTCCACAAATATATCCAGGACCTCATGTTTATGCTTCATGGTATATACCCAATTCCTCCTGGAATAATCATCAATGAAAGTGACGAAGTAATTTGCCCCACCAAGCGATGTGTGCTTAGAAGGGCCCCAAACATCTGTGTGAATGTAGTCTAATATACCTTGGGTGTTGTGAATTGCGGTGCCAAACTTCACTTTAGTCTTCTTCCCAAGTATGCAATGCTCACACAGCTCCATCTTGCAGGTCTTTGCACCTTTCAATAGCCCCTGTTTTGCCAATGACTGAAGGGACTTTTCACCTGTGTGTCCAAGCCTCATGTGCCATAGTGTGGTTGTGTCCTCCTCTGTGGTGATAGAAGCAGCCAGATCCCCTGTAACTGTCTTGCCCTTCAAGTAGTATAGGTTGTTTTCCCTGACACCTCGCATCACCACCATGGACCCCTTCATGACCTTCAAACTAGCATCCTCTAATATCACTCTATAACCGGATGCCTCCAAAGTCCCAAGAGAAATGAGGTTCTTCGTCAACTGCGGCACGAACCTCACATCTTTCAATTCCCTAGTCACCCCGTCATGCATTCTGATTCTGACTGAGCCAATCCCACTAATAGGACAAACGTGATCGTTCCCCATGAGCACCACATCTCCTCTCTTCAACTCCTCAAAGTTGGTAAACCAATCCCTCTTAGGGCAAATATGAAAAGTAGCTCCCGAATCAAGCATCCACTCCGTAGAGTCGGCATAGCAAACTGACGGCAGTGCGGGATAAGAATAACCGGAAGAATCTGAATCTGAAATGTCGCCAACAACCTTAGCAACATTCACCTCTGAAGCTTGTACAGCTTTCCCCCTTTGCTTCCCGGCTCTATCCTTCAACTTTGGGCACTCATTCTTCCAATGTCCCTCTT